AATAATAATAATAATAATAATAATAATAATAATAATAATAATAATAATAATAATAATAATAATAGTAATAATAATAATAATAATAATAATGGTAATAATAATGATAATAATGATAGTAATAATAATAGCAATGATAATAGTAACAATATTATCATTATTGTTATCAGTAATATTATCATATTTTTTCAATACATTGCACATTTGTCCATTGCATATTCAATTTTTTGTGGGAATTATTAATTGATGCTTAACAGGTTTTATTGTATTAATTTATTTCGTAAATTTTATTTCAATTTTTTTCAAGCTCTCTTTCATTCTTTCTTTTTTTTCTTTTTAAACTACCATTCATAACTGATTATTTAATACATTATTATAAATTAATCATTTTGTTCTATCATGCCCTATTTAAATGATAAAAGTAAACCTATCACGACGATATGCCCTGTAAAGTATAAAATAGCTATTAACTTTGCTTTTTCCAATGGTTAAAAAATAATTTCTTTAAAATTTTTTTTTTAGAAGATTTAAAAGCCACGTCATTTTGTACGATTGTAATAAAATCTAAGAAATGTTCGCTCTATTCATTTTTTTTACTCATCTAAACCGTTAGAAATGGATCCATCTGAATTTAATTATTTAATTTATTGAATTTGATTTGATTCTTTTAATATAGATTTCATCTATACATTTTCTTTTCCATCTAATCCGTTGGGAAAATTTTCTTTGATACATTCTCTTGAAAGTATTTCATTAAAACAAACCTATTTTCTATCAAAATGTCTTCTTTTTTTTTGAACTATTTTTGATAAGCGAGGAATCAATAATATTAGTAATAATGATTAATAATATTAGTGATAATTTTAATTTTTTTTGAAAAAAAGTTAAATTTTCTACCATTATGAACTTATTCTAATTGAACCTTCTCTTATCAACCATTGATCAATTCCGTCAATTTTATTTCCAATAATCAAATGATCAATCAATTCTTTGTATGATTGACATTCATAAATAAAGTTCGAAAAAATATTTATGCGCTTTATTTGAATGCACTTATCATATACTTTCTCAATTCAATAACAATTAATTGTGGAGTAAAAATAGAAATAAATGTTTAGTCTTGTTTTTTTTTTTTCTTAATGTATTTTTTCTTTTCTTTTCTTTTTTTTTGTAGATTTAAGTTAGTACAATTTACTGTAGAATTAATAAAAATAGCACTAATTAATAATAACAACATTAGTAGCGATGATAACGATGATAATGATAGTGATATAATTTTCCATTAAATTAATTCATGTCTAATGTAATGAGTTATATCTATGCTAAATTCGTCATTATTTCACCGATCCAAGTACTGACCAGGCCCAACGTTGCTTAACTTAACAGATCGGACAAGATATCCTGCTTTCAACGAATACTGTCGCTGATATCGCGAATGGAGACAAAGGAACATTAACACTCTTTGTTGAAAGCCAGACATCTTT